AACCTCAGATGAACAACAATATATGACATATTGACCATCTCATGATTTATTTAACAAAAATAAAGCCAATAATTATGCAAGGTAACATGTATTCTAAACTATGTAATAATTATAATTGGTAACAATCCAGGGTCTTAACTCTAAGCAGTGATGCATACCCTCCACATATACCAGTACATAATCACAAACATCACCGCCAAATACTCAGGGGACAGGGGATGATGTTGCATTACATCAGTTCTGCCCAAGATCTCACACCACTACTTCTCAGAAAAGGAATGAAGGTAGAGGAATGGCCATGAGTTAACCCTTTTCTGTTAGTATGGATTGAAGATATTTTTTCTTCAAAATTGCTTATTTTGAAAAAGCAGTTTATCCCAACATTTAGTGAAAAGACTTGCAGCTTCCTGGTGACTATTTTCATAACACAGTCTGTAAGAAAAGAATGTGGAAACATGTATTATATCTGGACTAACAGCTGAGATAATGCACAGTGCAGTTGCCAAATTTCTGTTGAGCTGGCTTTTAATCTTGACCTTGTCCAAGCTACATCCTTACTTTATTGACCTTTTCATTGCTGAAAGTTACACCACAAGAACATTAGGTATTCTATTGATTCCATTTTTGAGTATCAGTGTATAATTAAAAAAGAATCCTAAAAACTTGCTGTAAATACATTTTCTTTCTTGTTTCTATGTGGACCTGGATTTAAATGAAAGAAAAATGATTCCGTTTTCATATGAAAGCTTAGGTTTAAACAATAATAAAGTATGGGAAAATAGTGAAACAAAAAACAGAGGGCTTAGGTAAACTGATTAGTATTGATGTATTATTTAGCTATCAATGGTGAACATAAAATCTTTTAATGCGAGGGCGGAGCCTGACAGCAACGCTGACTGGTCGCACATCTCGCAAGCTCCTTGGAAAAAAAGCTCTTAAACAGCTGAAATTGCTTGACTGCAGCCATAATTTTTCGCTACTGACTTACTCTGGAGACAGGAGGAGACCACGGTGGCGGAAGTACCCATGCTTCAGACTTTCAATCTACAGGTGGCCTACTCACAGCAAGTGCTAGAGACTCCAGGAGTTTCCTCTCTCCACCCCCGCCAGTGAGGGATGTCCTGGTGCATTCTACTCATGCTACAGTGATGAATTGCCTGCAAACTATCGCCAGTAGCAGCCAGCCTGCCGAGACCAGCAATGTCACCTCAAGCAGCACACTTAGTAGTATGGTGTGGATCCTTGTTAAGACTAGACAGACTCTTTGACGACTTCTGACTGAAGCTGATCCTCAGGCACCTCAGACCTGTCCCAAAACACAAGTAAAATAAAATTTCAATGTCGAATGATTTTAAAATTTGTCTTGTAAGCCATCACAGAAAACAAAATTGCCATACGAAAGTATAAATTTATATAAAGTAGACATCACAGCTACTTACCCTAGGGTATTTTGACACTTTTTACATAACAATTTAACAGTCCATCTCTGCAAAAAAAATTGTAAAAGATACTTAGCATATCAGGTTGTTAACATGAGACAAAGTCATGATACATAAAAGCAGATTCAAGCATAGCATAGTCGTCAAAGATAGTGCACCATTTTTTAAATAACAAAACAACATGTTATAACAATGGACAAGAGCGAGACTAAGTGTGACGTAAAATTTCCTGAGTAAGACAGGTTGATTAATGGTTGTCCCTGGTATGTCAGCGAGTATATGCGTCTCGAGTGTTAGTGCGTATGAGCATCTTGACGAGACAATGGACAGCATATGAGGTTTAAGAAGCATGATTTGAACAAGCCTAAGGGGATGCATAGGTTGTTTTTACAGTGTGATGCTAGGCTCATATAGTCGAAGAAAGGTACACACCTTAGAATAAAAATACACGGTGGTGATGTTAAGCCAAGGCCCTAGGCATCCTGGTTGGGTGCCCCTTAGTAAGGGGGTGGGGAGGGGGAAGATATAGTAGAGAGGGTGCCAATTAGTAACTTTTGGGAAATGAGCTGTTGCTTACAACTAGTGTATGTATGCCTTGTGGTGGTGGCAGTTCTTACACAGTAAGCATTGCACAATATAGCATAATACAAGAACAAAAAAAATAAAATAAGAAAAAATAATACTGATAACTATAGCCAGATGAGATTTTAGAAAATCAACTGTTAGTCAGTCCACATGTCTATGCAGACCCGTCAAAAGTTCAGATACTTGTGCGGCAGAGTGCCTTAGCTCTAGCAGCCATGGGGCCGCCATCTGCGATCTTGATTCCCTCGGGATAAAGGGGACAACAGTTGATGGATCCCAAAGTCCTGTTGGTGAGCTCCCAGTTGGAGCTGGGCTTAGAGTGGATAGTCCTAGCTTTCTTAGGAACGCTGATGCCTCCTTTGTCAATGTTAAAGTGTGAAAAGTCACAGCGTGGGTTGCTATCAAGGAGCAGTTTGCTCCCCACTTATAGGCCATATTTGCAGTGCTTAGTTGGGCAGTGACAGTGCTGAAAGCTTTGCGCATGAGGAGTGTGGTTTTCGTAAGATCTTGGTAAAACATGAGAGAGGAGCTTTCAAGAGTCAGGGATGTCTTGCCCCTCAGTGCTAACATGATCGAATTTTGTTTTGGAGACATCTGAGAATTACATCACGAACCATTGTAGGCTTGAGCGGCACGGTACTGGAGAGATGGTGGACTCCGCCTATGGTAATTTTTTTTCGCCACTGTGTGAGACGAGATGGTGGCTTGTAGTCGCCGGATATAATGTGGCAGTTCTTCTGACGTGATTGTGGCTGGGATATCATGTATCTTGTAAATATGAAAATAAATTTTAAAAAAAGAACAAAAAAAATATAAACTAGAGATTAGTAAACATACCAAAATACATCAAATTAAATAATAAATATAAATAAAATAAAGAATGTATAGAGAATAGTAGAATTAGTAATAATAAATAAAAATATAAAATGATAAAAAAATAATAAATAGAAATAAAATAATAATGAATAGAGCTTAATAAGGATGAGTAAGAATCAATTTAAAAATATAAATAAATAAAAATAAATAGGGGTTACTAGCCTCTCTTTATTTATATATATTTGTATTTTTTCACTAGCACACAAATTACTATAGGCAAAACAGTGGGTAAAATTGGCCTTTCCATGGAATATTGACTAGTTCAATTCCAATAATTTTTAAAAATTTTGGGTCTTTATTGTGTATTAAAAAGTGTTTGGAGACTGAATGGTTTTCATACCCTCTCCTAATGTTACGGCAGTGTTCTGCCAGTCTGACTTTGAGGCATCTTTTAGTCATGCCTATGTACTGAAGTCCAACATATATATAACATTTCTGGAGTTGCAGCTAATAAAATCTTTAATTGGGTATGGTTTTTTTGTGTTTTTTGAAGCGAAATGGGTAGTTTTAGATTTAATAGTTGAATCTGTAGTTTTACACACAATACATTTATAACATTTAAAAAAAAAACCTTTGACCTGGATAAGAAATTTGTTTTACATTGTGTATTTTTCTCAGTGTAATTTCTTGTAAGAATAGTCTTGAAACTAGGGGCACCTCTAAATATTACATTCGATCTGTCTGGGATTTGGTCTTTTAAAAGGTCAACCTGTTTAAGAATATGCCAATGTTTGTTTATAATTTTTTTCATAATTTTATTCTTGTTGTTAAAATCAAAAATAATGGATAATGTTGGGGGATCTTCTTTCTTAGCCTTGTATTTTATTAGTTCTTCTCTTTCTTTGCTTTTAACTATATTGAGGGCTGCATCCAATTTTTCTAATTTGTCATTTTTATCTATAAACATGTTACTTAATGAGGTAGATTGGGTGTCGAAATCATCGGTTTGGGAGCAATTGCGATGGAGACGTAGAAATTGGCTTTTTGGAATGCCATCTAGCCATGGTTTGTGGTGACAGCTGGTTTGATCTATTATGGTGTTTGTGCACACTTAAAAAAAAAAAAAAAAAAAAAAGGTTTTAGTTTGGATGTGTCCATCTTGAATAAAAATATTAAGGTCTAAAAAGTTGACTGATACATTACTGTATTCAGAAGTTAAAATTATGCCTAGAAGTAACAATTGTACCTATGGTTTTTTTTTGTCTGCAGTACTATGAATACTTTCCTTCATGTTTGAGAAATAATTTTAGATTTTAATTTATCTTTTCCATCTGTGTAACTGCACATTATGCTGGAGCAATGTATTATAGGACTGGTATAAAATATTTTTTCATGGCTGCTTTTTTGTTCCCAGTTGGCTCTGCATAATGGTAGGATTTAAAATGGAGATAATTGTTATTACACCTATGTTCTATGGAGTAAAAATGGTAAATGACAGAAAGGCATTCCCATAGACTATTAACAGTTAAAGGAATAACAGTGATTTGTAGACAAAGCCCTGAGACATATCACATAAACGTTTATAATTTACAAGTTCAATTGCAGGATCTAATCATAAGATTAAATAGTATTATAGCTAGAATATAGTGTTCTCAGTAATGAGTGGGACCATTGACAGAATGGAATGTTCATAGTCATTAATAGGAAAGAAAATTAAAAGTGATATTGAGAAAAAGCCACAAAATATAAAGCAAAAATAATTACATTAAGAACCCAGAGATGTTTGCTATTGCAATTTTAAATATCTTTATTTTAGAAATATATGTCTTATCTGCATTTCCTGTATGTGGGCACTTTGCTCAAATGCAGACAATAATTTTACATTCTGTTGTCATTGTTAGTAAGCTGTATTGCTACAAATACCTACAGGGTACTTACAAATGCCTACAAGCTAGGTATTTGATTACTTGTATTTATCTACTGTTTGTAGATAAATACAAATAATAAGTAATGTTTGTACCACCTACTGAATGTAAGAAAAAATTGTATTTTTGCTTTTATACAAAATTTCAGACCCCTTGTGATTAGAGATGTCGTGAACCGTCCGCGAACTTCTCGCGAACGGTTCGCCACGAGCTGTTCGCGGCGAACTCCGGTCAGCTGACACGTCCCAGCCAATCTCCAGCAGACCCTCCCTCCCAGACCCTCCTACTTCCTGGACAGCATCCATGTTTCCCATAAAAGCAAAAATACTATTTTTCAACATGGATGCTGTCCAGGAAGTAGGAGGGTCTGGGAGGGAGGGTCTGCTGGAGATTGGCCGGGACGTGTCAGCTTACCGGAGTTCGCCGCGGACAGCTCGGACGGTTTGCGACATCTCTAATCACAAGGGGTCTGAAATTTTGTATAAAAGCAAAAATACTATTTTTCAACATGGATGCTGTCCAGGAAGTCTGGGAGGGAGGGTCTGCTGGAGATTGGCCGGGACGTGTCAGCTGAGAAGTTCGCGGATGGTTCGCGACATTTCTACTTGTGATATATTGCAATATTTAGGACACTGTATACTGTCTATAACTTTTTATTTCCAAACTTATTTTAATAAAGGCAGAAAAAAATAACTGAAAAATAAAAATGTGTAAATGTACATGTGGATTAATTTAATATGAACATGGTTCTGATTTTCTCTGTAATTGCATAAGTCAGTAACACATGGCTCACCTGTGGTTCTGAGGTCTAGAGCAGTGTTCCCCAGCCCAGTCCTCATGGAGCCCAGGTTTTGTCATGATCTCCATTGGAATAAAATAGGGACAAAATAAATCCTGGACTGTTGCTGGGCCATGAGGACTGGGTTGGAGAACACTGGTCTAGAGAACCTAAATATAGGATATGGACATTTGTAAACATTTATACACAGAGCAATGCAAAAAGAATGCTTTGCCTAATAGATATAGGTAAATTTCTATGAGCAATACAATGATCAATACCTTCCCATTGTCAGAAATAATGATTGCAGTAAGCAAAAAAAATGGAAGGTAATCATGTAACTAGTTCAAATCTGGCGCTGTCTCCTAAAGTGTAAGAGTGTCAGAGACGCAATCACATAGGCACACAGACTGAAGAGACTGGCAGATTGATTCCAGTCGATTGAGAGGTCTTGCATGCACTGCATGCATAAAACGTGCAACGCTTAAACTAAACATCAATGGAAGCCAGATCTGGGGTGACTCATGAGGGCGAAGCCAGGTAAAAAGAAAGAAAGCATCCATTAGTCCATAGATTTTATACTGCAGGCAGGGAATACATGCTAGTGTTACCAGCTGGAGAGATGCGGCCAGGCTAAAAAAAGGGAAAAAACGTAGGACCCACCATTCTCAGTATTGTTTTGATGGTTTTTCCTCTTATTTCCTGGGCAGACACTACCATATCATGGCTGATGTGGAATCAATCAATTAATTGATTATCTTGCGTATCTGCCCCCAGCCAAATTAAAGAAGTAATGCGTGCACGCTCCTAAAGTAATTCACACCAGACACAGGTTTCGGGTTATTGAAGAACTTGAGGAGTGTTTATTCTGGGGGGACGGCATGCCCCTTATAAAGCAAAATTACATCATATGCATTGTCAGAGATAACATGGATTAATACATCAATAATTGGTTAGGTGTTAAGTGGTTCATTTATTGCTCTTCCTACCGGGTGTGATGTCACTGGTATCTTGGAGGTCTCCCCCAGATTCCAGCGCCATCTTGTTAATGAGGGTGTTAGTTGATGTCAAAGGGAAACTCCCTAGCAGCCATTTTAGGTAAATCACATATAAGGTTGAGTAATGCTGATTGTGGTTATGCTGAGTAAATAGGCATTTTATTAATATGAACTGGGTTAATATTTTTGTCCACAACAATGCCCATTTTGAAAATAGAAAGGTCAGATGTTATGGACATTTTAATCAACAGAGGCAAAAGATTAAGTAAAAGTAAATGTACTGAGAAACGTCCCTAATTAGATTAATACCTAAATATATATATCTGCATAAACAAATAAAGAGAAAAGTGCCATAAATACAGCTTTCATCAAGTCACATCAAACACAACTTTGTGGACTGTCACATATGGGTGCAGATCTCGCTGCTAAAGATTATATTCTTTGGGGAAGAACTGATGACAGATCTATCTGTGATGAAGCCACATTGTTAAGATGTTTTGCATTACTGTGCAAGCTCCTCAAACTCCTATTAGCACAGCATCAACAATGCAGGCCAGATTTTGACATGAAAAGGCTCAATGATATCAAGCATTCAGCAGCCTAATGCATAGGCTAAATAAACTGTTATTTTAACCCTTAATATTGAAAAAGTCAAAGTTATTTAAAGATGATCAATCTTTATTGCCACGTCCCTGTCTGTATTAAACACCAAAGAAAACAGAGTTTGAACAATCAGACTATATAGAAATTGGTAAGCAAGAATGGTAAAAATATGTTTTTTCTGAAAAAAAGCATTGAGATAGTGATGGCTTAAGCCACTTTGAAATCTTTGAATGCAATAAATAGTCAAAGAATCATGGGAGTTAAAGTTTAGAAACATCCGGGTGTATGTAGGAGGGCAGGAGGGTGTAGGGGGGGTTTGGGGTTGTTAGTTATTAGTTTAAAAACACACTCCAAGGGGCAGGGGCTGTAATTTACCATGCTGAGTGCCGGCGTGTGATCTCACCAGCGCTCAGCAGACTGGGCAGTGGTGGGACTAATGAAGAGAGGGTTCCAGTGCAAGAAATTATTTTAGGCCCCACCAGCACATGGATGGCCAAAAGATAGATTCCCATCTGTTGTACATATCCCTTGATGCATTGCCAGCTGGGGATCTACCATTTACACATATCTGGTCACACATAGTGACACAGAACACACTCACAGATACAAACATGTACCTGCACTGACACAGATGCAAACATGTACTTACACAGACACATACACACAGATACAAATGTATACCTTCACAGACACATACACTGGCACACACACAGAGATTCAAACATATATACATGGGCGTCCGCACGAATTTTTCCGGGGGGGGGCATAATTTTAATGACATCCATGCTTGGCCCCTTTTTGACAGTGTCATGAAAGGGAAGGAGCATAGTCATTTTCACATAAAGCCAGGGTGAATAGCTTTTTTACAACTATGGTGTCAGGAATATATGTTTGTATTCCTGACACTATAGTGTTCCTTTAATCAAATTAAAGGAACATTCTGGTCACCACAACAACTTTCCTTTAAGGCGTGAAACCACTCTCAAATGGTTTACCCCCAAAGGCTTCCTCCAGCTCCAGATCGCTCAGTGGTATTCAGCTTCTTAAACGGAGTGTCAGGAAGTGCAGACTGACGTCAGGCATGGGTGCCGCTGATTGGCTAGAGTGGTCAGCTGACGCTCTTAGTCAATCGCTAGTTCCCGATTCATAAAAATGTTTTATGTTTTCATGAATGGGGAGCTACTGATTGGCTTAGAGTGGCAGCTGACCCTCTAGTCAATCAGCGGCACCCCTAACCAGCGGTCCTCTGTGTTTCCTGACACTCAGTAAATTAAAGTGAACACATTAACACTGATATGTTTTTTTTACTTGGGGAGATGAGAAGGTCCAAAGTTTCCTGCCAGACCCAGGAATGAAGTGCTCCAATCTCATTTTCTTCTCCTTCATTTTACACAGTGTTCCTTTTCTTCTGAGGCTCCTTCTGCAGACTTTATGAGGCCTTAGGCGAAACTCAAACATGTGGCTGCACTAACAAAAAAAGTGAAAAAAATAGAGTTGCAATACATGCACACTGTCACATATACACATTGATGCACAGTTTACCTGTGTATGTGTCTGACAGAGAGTATCCTTGTGTGTGTGTGTGTGTGTGTGTGTGAATGTATGTCTCTGTGAGCATGTTTGCGTTTTTGTCTGGTACCCTATGTGTATGGGGTAGCTGCTTGAAGAGGGGGGTGATGGTGAGAGGGAGAGGCGGGTGATGGTGAGAGGGAGAAGCGGGTGATGGAGAGTGGGAGAGGCGGGTGATGGTGTGTGGGAGAGGCGGGTGATGGTGAGAGGGG